ATGCAAAAATATGCTTAAAATGGAAGATATCGTACAAATATTATGTGCATAAATAGAGGCATAATAAATTTGGCAACAAAATAAATTAATTTTGTCAATAAAGGAAGTATATAAATTAATATCTTCCAAAAAGGGCAATAATATAAAAATTTTGGCGAGAAAGGAAGGTGCACAATCAAATCCGTAAAAAATGAAAAACGGCACGTAGCATCATCCGAAAAGGAAGCCAAGGCCGCCCTCCCCTATAAATAGGAGTCATAGCCAGTTCATTTGACACATTGAAGTTTCATCGAGGATTCAATCAAAGGGGTAAGTCTCTAGACTCTCTCTGTATTGTTCTTCATTTTTTCGTGTCCTTCGAAGCGTTCTTCGTCGAAAGTCACTAATTTGGACAAATGATCCAATATTGGTTGACGAATCGATGAAGTTAACGTTCTTCGTCGTATGTCCAAGCCGGAGGAGGGATCAAAGCTCTCAAAGCCGTCGAGGAATTCGTCAAAGCCAAGGGAAGGTCTTCAAAGTTTCTCTCAAAGCTTCGAGGTGTTCGTCGCGTTCTTCACCAAAGAAACAACTCGGCCCTCTTCGATCCAAAAGTCAAAGGGACACGCCGCCAAAAGTGTTATGGAGCACCAAATCTACCTCCTCAAAAATCAAAGTCCGGATCGTCTAAAGAAGACATCAAATCCCAAGACAAGGATCAAATCTCCAATACGGAGACCAAAGTCCTCCAAAAGCGGCAAAGCCAAATCAAAGATCAAAGCCTCGGATTGTCTAAAAAAGACATCAAATCCAAAGCCGACGATCAAATCGCCGGCATGAGGACCAAAGCTCTCCAAAAGCCGGCAAAGTCAAACCGAAGACCAAACCTCTTCGGATCAGAGAAGCCATTGAAAACTAAGTTGGAAAACAAATCGACCCGGAAGGAGAATCAAAGGACCTATTTAGATAATAGGACCCGCTTTAAATTCAAATCAAATATAATATGTACAAATTTTGTGTTTATTAAAAATAACGCAATTTTTTGTCCACAATATGCACATTGAAACTCTTTTTTTTTTTGTCAATATACAATTTCAATTTTCCGCAAATATTCAAATATGGTATCAGAGCCTATTTTTCTTCTAGGATAGACAAAGCTACTAATCCTCATTGTTTTCGCTGCCAACGGCGGCGTGTGGCAGCCGCATGCCTCCGATGCAAGTCGACGTAGTATCCCTCCAGCGACCGCCTTCCCGTCGTGTCCGGCGGTCTCTGGCCGCCGTCTCCTGCTTCGATCCCCGATATCCTGGTATGGTCGATTTTTCATCTAACTTGAATTTATTTTGCGACTGTTACTGGGTTGGCTTGCCTAATCTGATTTTTTGCACAATTCTCTTGTGTGCGTTATACTATTCTTGATTTTCTCGCTTCATAGTATGACTCTTAATATGGATCATGTAAACGTTTTTTGAGATTATTGTTATTCTTTCTTGTGATAATTATGATTTGTGGGCTGAATTCATGAAGAGTTTCTTGATTCGTAAAAGATTATGGGGCTATGTTACTCGCGACTTTCCTGCACCGGTTGCTCCTGTTGTCACTTCTACGGTGCCCCTCAACAATAAGGATCTCACGGACCATCGGAATGCTTGAGATTATTTGTAGCATCAATATCAGGCCACTAGAGGCATGCATTATTATCAGCTTATAGGGTCATTGAATGCATTGACACATGACTTGCACCAAGATATGAATGAGTTCCTTTCTACTATACAGTCTATATGAGATCGCATTGATAAGACAGACTTACAAATTAAGCACTTTCGGTTAATTTAGCTTTTGATGAAGCTTGGTCCAAAATATGAGTATATGTGTGCTTCCTTGCTTCGTTGTCATCCATTGTCTTCCTTAGAGAAAGTGATGAAGGAGATTTCTTTTTAGGACACTCGCCTCAAGATGCTAAAGGCCCCTACACTTGATTCGGCCTTGGCAGTTCCCTCTTATACTCCTCATCGCAGAGATAATCGCAAGGATGCCTAACCACCGCAGTCTGATAAATGTCGCAGTTGCCCGAATACTGATCATCTTTATATCTATTGCCCTAAGGTTGAGTGTCAATATTCTAATCAGAAAACATCCGTCCGCATTGTCCCAAGAATCCCAAGGCTGGTCAGTCCTCTTCCGGTTCTTCCTCCGTCATTGTTGCTGCCACTAGCATATCACAGTCGCCTCAACCGCCTCCCACTCTTGAGGACCTACGTCACATGCTTACTCAGGTTTTGTCAATTCATTCTTCATTAGCCTCGACATCAGGTAATAAAACATGGTATATTGATTCTGCTTGTTGTAACCACATGACACCTGACCCTTGCCTTTTACATTCCTCTCAATCTGTCACCTCATCCCCTCCTATACTTACCGCTGATGGAACCTCCATGCGCATTACCCATACTGGTCATATATTGTCCCCCCACCTCGATGATGTTTATGTCATTCCCAAATTAGCCCTAAATCTTCCGTATGTCGGTCAGTTGGTTGAGCAGGATCTTATTATAATTTTTTTTCTTCTGGTGTGCAGGTTCAGGACATGCAGACGGGTCAAATACTTGAGACGGGTCGTAAGATTGGCCGTCTATTTAAGCTTTGACCACATTTGCCCTCGCCAGACACCATCTCTTTCTGCTGCAGTCTCTCCTTCCTCTTCCTATCATTGGCACCTTAGACTTGTTCATGCCTCCCTATCTAAACTCAAGTCTCTTGCAAATACAGGTGTTTTAGGCACGGTTCGTTTTGAGTATTTTGATTGCTTGCATTGTAAACTTGGAAAACAACCAGCTTTACATTTTTTGAATAACTTGTCTATTGCTGATAAACCTTTTTCGTTAGTACATTCTGACATTTTGGGGCCCTCTCATGTTGCTACTTTTATTGGGCTTTGTTACTTTGTGCTTTTTATTGATGATTACTCTCGTTTTACTTGGATTTACTTTATGCGTAAACGGTCTGAACTTGCCTCCATTTACTCTGCATTCGCTAAAATGGTGCAAACTCAATTCTCGTGTCCTATTCAGACTCTTCGCACTGACAATGCCCTCGAATATAATGATTCTGTCTTTCTTAGTTTTCTATCTACCCAAGGTACTCTTGTCCAGCGTTCCAGTCACTACACATCTCAAGAAAATGGTAGGACAGAGCGCAAGCATCGTCATATTTTAGACACAGTTCGAGTCATGATGTTATCTGCCAGTTGTCCAAATCGGTTTTGAGGCGAGTCTGCTCTTACTGCTGTTTATAATATTAACCCCTTACCCTCCTCTATCCTTCAGGATACCACACCTTTTGAAAGGCTCTTCCGCCAAATACCTGATTACTCTCATCTTCATCCTTTTGGTTGTGTCAGCTTTGTTCATCTCCCTTCTCATGAACGTAACAAATTAGAATCACGCACCCGTCTGTGTTGTTTTCTTGGGTATGGGATAGAATATAAAGTTTATTGATGTTGGGATCCTGTGTCGAATCGTCTATGTATCTCTCGGGATGTTACTTTTTGGGAGCATAAGTTCTTTTCCTCTTAGTCTAAATTTGCCATTCCCTTTGAGTCAGAGTCCCCGTTCTTTGTTCTGGATTCCTCTCCTCTTCTTGCAGGTCCCGAACCCCCGTCCGTTCCTGCTGGTCTGTCTGATGTTGATCCTTCCCCACCAGCTGACCCTTCTAAGCCTGTGCCCAATCCTCCAAAAATTCCAATTCCTTACGCCACTGATCGGTAACCCACCCTTGTAAGTTGTCCTCCCTCTTATCTACTTGATTATTATTTTTTTTCTGTCATTTTATCTCACCATGAACCCAAGACCTTTCGTGAGGTGAACTGTGATCCCTTGTGACGTGACACTATGTCTGAAGAATTGCAAGCTCTTGAGAAGACCGGAAAGTGGGATATCGTCGATCTCCCTCATGGCAATAAACCTATTAGCTGCAAGTGGATGTACAAAATCAAAACTCACTCCGATGGTTCTGTTGAGTGCTACAAGGCTCGCCTTGTAGCCAGGGGTTTTTCGCAGGAATATGGTATTGATTATAATGAGAAATTTGCTCAAGTTGCTCGTTTGACATATGTCCGTTGTCTCCTTATTGTTGCCGTTGTTCGAAGTTGGAAATTATTACAGTTGGATGTGAAGAATGCATTTTTTTTAATGGAGATTTGTCTGAGGAAATCTACATGACCCCTCTACCTGGCTCAGATTTTTCAAGGAAGGTATGTCAGTTGCGTCGTGCCCTTTATGGACTGAAGCAGGGGCCCCGAGCTTGGTTCGCCAAGTTTAGTGTTGCGCTCCTTCAGTATGGCTTTTCTGCATCTCCCTATAACTCTGCTCTCTTTATTTGTCGTTCTCTTGCCGGGATCATCATTCTCTTGTTGTATGTGGATGACATGGTTATTACTGGCGATGACACTTCTGGTATATCCAATCTACAAACCTACCTTCATCGACACTTTGACATGAAGATTCTTGGTCAGCTCCGCTATTTTCTCGGACTTGAGATTTCTGACACTCCAAATGGCATATATCTATCTCAGGCGAAATATGCATTTGATCTCATATCTTGTTCAGGTCTGACTGATAGCCAGATTGCATCCACCCTTCTCGAGGGGAACTACCGACTTGCTCCTTTTGACGACACTCCATTATAGGATCTCTCCCGCTATCGACAGTTAGTGGGATCACTTATGTACTTGACAGTCATTCGCCTTGACATAGCTCATGCGGTTCATGTTGTTGCTCAGTTCATGACTAATCCCCGGACAGTTCACTATGTTGTTGTGTTGCGCATCCTTCATTATGTCAAGGGAACACTCCTACATGGTCTTCATTTTTCTGCTGACTCTCCATTGGTTCTTGCAGGTTTCTCTGATGCTGATTGGACAGGTGATTCGACTGATCGTCGCTCTATCACAGGTTATTGTTTTTTTCTTGGGAGTTCCCTTGTTTCTTGGCACAGCAAGAAACAAACTCTCGTTTCTCGCTCTAATGCAGAGTTTGAGTATCGTGCTCTTTCAACTTCAAAGCTCCTTTGGTTTCATCGGCTTCTTTCTGATCTTGGGGTTCCTTAGCCTTCTTCCACTTCCCTCCATTGTGACAGCACAAGCGCAATTCAGATCTCCCATAATGATGTATTTCACGAGCGTACCAAACATATTGAGATTGATTGTCACTTTGTTCGCCATCATGTTCATGCAGGCACTGTTCATCTATCTTTTGTCTCTTCCGAGGATCAAACTGCAGATATCTTCACCAAGTCCTTATTCCCAGACCGGTTCTCCATATTGTTGAGCAAACTCAAGTTGGTATCTACTTTACCACATTGAGTTTGAGGGGGAGTGTTAGCATATTTTTTATATAGTCATTTGGGACCCACATATATATCCCTATATATATGCACATTGAAACTCTCTTTTTTAGTCAATATACACTTTCTATTTTCCGCAAATATTCAAACATTAAATTCTTTATACAAATTACAAAATAATAACAAAATAAAGTATTATAAGAAATTTATATTTTAAAATATCATATCGTTTTCGGATTAGGTGACACCCCAGTATTTTAGAACTTCGAGAACTAAAATATGGAGGAAAAGAACTGTATCAAGTGGCTAACAGAGAGAGAAACGTTACCAAAATATTAATCGAAAAATTACCCAAAAAAATAGTGCCGAAAAAAGAAGAGAAGTAGAGAGCCGAGGAGGTTGAAATGTGATTGAAATGAGGTAGAGAAATGACCTTTTATATAGGCATCTTCACCATGCGTGCCGGGACAATCAAATAAGAAAAAATTTTTGGTCACGTGAGATCCACCGAGCTCAAATATATGATATATAGATAATAAATTTTAAATTTTTATAATTATATTTATTAGCTATAATTTCATTAATGATATTATTATTAATAATTATATAATATTAATGGCAATTTATTAACTATATCAGTTAATATAATTATTTTTATTAAAAAAATAGAAAAAATAAGAAAAAAATTTTGATCACGTGGGACCCACCGAACTCAAATACTCCCTCCGTCCTACATACTATTTCCACGTTGCCGTTTCTGTCCATCCCACATACCATGTCACTTTCTTTTTTCGAAAAATGATTACACACTTTAAGCTCATTTTAAACTTTTTAATTTTTTTTAAAAATTTTAATTAAACTAATTAGTTATCTTAATCTTAATTTATAATTATTTATATTATAGAATAATTATTTTCATTAATACATTATTAATTATCTACTAATTACATCCCTCCTAAAATACCGTGTCTACGGTGTAACAGACACGGTATATAGGACGGAGATAGTATATAATATATAGAATATAAGTAATTTATAGATAATAATAATAATACATTTTAAATTTTAATAAATATATTTATTAGCTATAATTTCATTAATTATATTAAAAATTATTATATAATATTTATTATAATCTATTAATTATATCAAATAATATAATTATTTTTATTAAAAAAATTTATAAGATAAAAGTTTTGGTCGCAAAAATCCACCGATCTCAAATATATAATATATTGACTGTATAAATTAAATTCTATCAAAATATTATAGAATAATCCATAATTTTCTACTTCCCCTATAATTAATATCATTTCCTCCATTCACTCGATTGATCACCAATGCTATTGTCATCATTATTTTATCTTCTTGCTCTACCATCAGTGTCATTGTGTGTTTTGCGATTTTCCATTTCTATTTTATTATTGTTACGTACGAAATTTAGAACTAGGTTAAAAAGCTCAAGGTAAAAAGAAGAATGGGCCTGGCAATAGGGTTGATTGATCTGGCTAAAGGACACCGTGAGGAAATCAAGGAAAATAAATTTATTTATTTATTTCTAAGGGAAATACAGGTCGGAAGGTCTTCAGGTCGGGAGATCCGCAAGACGGAAAGACCTCAAGTCGGAAGGTCTTCAGGTCGGGAGGTCCGCAAGATGGAAAGACCTCAAGTCGGAAGGTCTTCAGGTCGGGAGGTCCGCAAGACGGAAAGTCGTCGAGATGGGATATCCGCAGGTCGGGTAAACTGTAGGTCGGATAGAAGGAGGAGTCGGACAAACGCGGAGGCCTTTGATCAAAGACAGGGGGCGGTTGATATGGAGGTCGGCCCAAGTGGGGTCGGGCGAAGAAGTAGGTCGGACGAAGGGCGAAGTCGGGCCAAAAGAGCGGAAGGTCTGTGGTCGGCTCAAGGAGTGAAATATAGGGAATTTTGGTCTGCTGGGGACACGTGTCAGCATGAGAAAGGTTGGAAGACGGTTGAGAAGGAGACGTTGTAACCGTTCGGGTGACGGTTTTCAGTACGGTTTCCCAGGGAATATTTAAGGATTTGGATCATCATTTGGCAAGGCATCTTCAATCAACTTCAACAAAGTAAAGTCAGATTTGGGGATCACCACTTTAAATTTCAGTCTTTTATTTTCCAGTTTATTTTCTGTACCATACAGTGTTTAGAGATTCCTAATCTCAGGCACTAATTAATCAAGTTTAAGGATATTTTCTATATCTTTGAATTTTACTTTATTTTTGTTGAAAAATTACATCAACAAATTGGCGACCACAGTGGGAGCAAGACAAAATTGCTCATTCCAATTCCGGCGATAATTTCATACGTCTTAGATCCGGCCGAATCATCGGAAGGGTTATGGCAGGTTCACAACCGCAATCATCTTCGACACCGGTGGGAGAATCCGTTCCACCACCCATTGTGCCAAATGCCGGGGAAATCCCACAACCACCAACTGATTGGTGGTCTTATGTTCAACAAATGAACAACCAGCATACCTTGGTTATGCAGAATATGTTGCGTGAGCAACAAACGAACATGTTGCGTGAGCAACAGAGTCAGTTGCAGAACATGATAGATCAAGCACTGTCAAGGGTTAGTCTTCAACCCACTCAAACGCCACCAGGAGTGTCACCGTCCAGACCACAGGCAAATTTCGCAGGGCCATCATTCGTGGATAGTACATTCCCAAGTGCCACAAATCCCAACCGAATGGATAGGGGAAAATCTCCTTTGACTTTTCCCAACAATGTTCCACTGGGACCAAGGGTTACCAATCCGCAGCCGAGCAATACAAGGGAGGACAGGCCTGAAGGATATATACATGATCCTATTCATATTCCTGTGCAGGATCCGTTCCAAGTTCCTGATCATCAACGCTTTCATGTAGATCCTGACGAGATTGCACACATATTAAGGGATCAGTATGGATTAACTCCTCAGATGGCTAACCGCCCTGCATATCAGAGACCTTTCCCAGAAAGGATCATTAATGAACACCCTCTCCCAAGGAATTTTCGACCACCCGACTTTCATGCATTCTCAGGGGAGGACGGATCTTCCACCATAGAACATGTTGGTCGGTTCACAGCACAATTAGGAGAAGTTGGCAATAACCCTTTTTATAAGTTACAGCTGTTTGGTTTATCTCTTACTAGAACGGCGTTTTCGTGGTTTGTAAGTTTGCCTCCAGGACAAATTCAGACATGGGAAGGACTGGAGATGGCATTTCACGCTAGATTCTTTAATCCTTTACCAGTTGTTTCTTTAACTGATTTACTTGAATTGAGACAGTATCCAGAAGAAACTGCTTCACAGTTTATAGAAAGGGTGCGATTGATGAAGGGACGATGTCCTACGGTAATCAGTGAGAAAGAGATGACCAATTTAGTGGTCCGGAATATGCATAATCGTTTAAGAAAGGCACTCACTGCCCTGGATGTTGAGGATTTGGCAAGTCTTGCATCCAAGGCAGGACGTCTAGAGTCTTTGTTCAGAGAGGAAGATCAGCATAACAGGCGTAATAGAGGCCAACATATGGCGAGTATGGGAACAGAAACATGCGACTTTGATTTTAATCAGTCAGAAGAGATGGCAGCCGAAATCCTTTCTGGAAAACCGTATGTATGTCCTAAATTGAAGCCAGTACCAGGATCTGAAGGAAAGGAGCAACCGACCTTTGATAGTTCGAAAGCTGATGAAATCTTTGATATCCTACTGACTGATGGGCAGATCCGTATTCCAAAGGGCCAAAGAATTGCCACTAAAGAAGAAATCAAAGGGAGACCATATTGTAAGTGGCATAATTCTTTCACACACACTACAAGTCAGTGTACTCATTTTAGGAAGGAAATTCAAAAGGCCATCAAGACAGGTCGGCTCAAATACATCACTCTAGGTGTAGACCAGCAACCGTTTCCGAGTGTAACAACGGCAATGGTTGACATCCAACCAAGTTCGGAAACAAGGAAAAGTTCGGCCAACGATGGACAAAAAGGGGAACGAAACCAGCCAAGCCCCGAAACAAAAAAAGGAAGTCGGCCAAACAGCAGCCGACCGGAAGAACGACTCAAAATTTGTGAGAAGCCAGTTGCTGAAAAGTGGGACCATCCAGATGGTTCTTTTAATGTGGAGGTGAAAGAAAAGGTTTTGATACGTGATCACCCGACCAGAAAAACAGGGTCGGTCGGGAGCAATTGGGCTCGAAATAAAAAGCCTTTACCAGTTGATATAGACCCTCGTTTCCCGGGTATGAATCGTACACAGATTCGCAATGCCAAACGCAGGTATGCTGTAAAGTATGGGAAAAGAGGTCCTTCAGCAGAACAACTAACCGACGAACAAAAAGCAGCCGACCACTTGGCAGGAGATCAGTCCATTCGGATCTTTACAGAACAAACGACCAACGAGCAGGGAGTAACCATTCAGTCTCCAGTTGGTCGGTCCAGTCGGGTCTGGTCAGGAAAGCAACCGAATGACGGATTAGGCGCTTCCGACCATACCAAAAGAAGTTCGTCGGGACTGGGGAAAGGTAAAGGTGTGGCAGATGAAATAATTAAAGGTTTTAGATGCCAACATTGTGAACGAATCAACATCAATCCAGCTCTTGAAGAATTCCGTATCGAATCTTTGACGGTTCAATCTCGATCTCGGGATAAGACAAAGGAAGAAGTGGTACCTACAGAGGAAAATTCAAGATCTGTTAAATCTCGTCTGGGACCACGAATCCCTTGTCGAATGACAGAGATTAATCAGATGAGTGACGAACCGATGTGGGCGAGTCTGGTAGATGAAACTATGGACGAACCTTTATGGGCTTTCTTGGCAGACGGTGAATTAGAGGAGACAGAGGGGGCAAAGACCTCAGACTCTGAGCCTCAACCGGAGCCACCTTCGATTGTGTTTCCTCCTATTCCAGAGGGTGCGATCT